AGGTTTGAAAGCCAATGGATTGGAAAATAAGAAACGAGCTAAACGAGATATGACATTCCTCGATCTGACGTATATTTTTTTTATAGCAGCCATAAAACTGGATTTTTAGGGCGAAAAATGGAGTTCAGATTTTAAACAAAATACGAGATTCAGATTTTAGTCAAAAATGCGATTTTTCTTTCCAGTTTTTCAATCGTAGTTTGGTCAAATCAAGGCGTACAGCTAAAAGACCGACTGCTTTGAGAGCTTGCTACAAATGCTATCGATCCCCACCACTTTAAGGAATATTTATTTTTTGACCCATTTTCGCATTTTTTGTAAGGGGGTGCATCGTCTTTTTTTGCGAAAAATGTGAAAAGTTAAAAATTATCAGGATTGAAAGCCATTGGATTGGAAATTAAACTACGAGCTCAACGAGGTATGGGGTTCTCATTTTTTTGCATTTTGACAGCTAAAAGTCTTATTTTTTATGGCCTAAAATCCGGTATACAGATTTTAGCCAAAAATACTATTTTTTCAGCGGCTTTTCGATCGTAGTTTTGCCAAATCAAGGCGTACAGCTAAAAGTTCGGTTGTTTTGAGCAGCTAACAACCTAAGCTAACAATTTATTTTCTGGGAAATTATTTTTTGATAAATTTTCGCATTTTTTATTATCAAGTTTTTTGTAGTGAAAAAAAGCAAAAATATAATTTTTTAGGTTTGAATGCCAATGGATTGAAAATTAAACTACGAGCTCAACGAGGTATGGCATTCCTTATTGCCCCAATTTTTCGCATTTTGACAGCTAAAACACTTATTTCTTATGGCCTAAAATCCGGTACTCAGATTTTAGCCAAAAGTTCTCTTTTCTGAGCGGTTTTTCGATCGTAGTTTCAAATCAAGGCGTACAGTTAAAAGACCGATTGTTTTGAGCAGCTTGCTACAAATGCTATCGATCCCCATCACTTTAAGGAACATTTATTTTTTGACCCATTTTCGCAGTTTTATAAGGGGGTACTTCATTTTTTTTGTAACTCAGATTTTGGTCAAAAATACTCATTTTTTGGTGGTTTTTCAGTCGTAGCTTAGCAAAATCAAGGCGTACAGCTAAAAGACCGACTGTTTTGAGTAGCTAACAACCTGAGCTAACGAGCTATTTCATTTTCTGGAAAATTAATTTCTTGACCAATTTTCGCATTTTTTATCATCATTTTTTTTTAGCGAAAAAGGGCAAAAATTAAATTTTTCAGGCTTGAATGTCAATGGATTGGAAATTAAACTACGAGCTCAACGAGATATGGCATTACTCATTTTGACCTATATTTGCATTTTGGCACCCAAAACATTGATTTTTAGAGCGGAAAAATATGAATCAGATTTTAGTCAAAATCCGTATTATATTCAGGTCCTAAATTAACAAGCTTCTGTTTCTGTTTCGCCACATTTTTCTCTGTGTATAGACCCATATTTCTGTGTGTGGTTCCATGTGATGGCTTCGTTCGTCTGGCTGGGCAACAAGTGAAAATCCATTTGTTAGAGGAAATCGTGCAAAAAGCTTAAATACGAAGCTTAAACATAAGTAGCAACGAATGCCTCGTGGGTGGAGCATACATGCAAAGCCACCCATAACCACCCCCTGAAAAACATACATATGCGCACATAAGTAAAAACTAAATGAAGTTGCCTCCGTTTTACCTTCTTCGAGGGGTTGCCCCAATTTTTCACTCAGTTCGTTATGTTTTTGTAAACATTTTTGCAAAACAACCTCATTCAAATATGTGTTCTTTGTTAAACAGATGTTTTATCAGTCAATCTCTTATCGAAATGTATCATAGCATTTGACTGATAAAAATTCAGTTATCAAATATCTTTTATAAGCACAATTTACCAATCAGTGTCTGTACCTTTGTTGCTGAGGCCACTTACGTTTGTGATTGGGTCAAAAATTTGAACGATTAACCTATGGGTTATGATATATTGTAAACTTTATATCAAATCAGTTGGATGTGGTATAGGTATAAATTAATTGGTTTATTATCTACAATAATGTTTACAGTGTTTTATTTTTATGGAAAAGTTCCTTGGATTCGTTAAATTTACTGGACCAAAAAGATAAATGGTCAAAATTTTATTAAAATTGGTTCAAAAAGTATGTGATAGAGTACGTATTTATATTTTATACTATAATAATATTGATTTTATTATCACTAACCATGGTATTACATATGGTTTTAAGATGTAAATTCTTTTTAGCAGAGTATTCGGTTATCCTGTTCTTAAGATGATATTATTCTTTCTACCTTTTGGTGCTTTTGTGCTCCTTTCTTCCCATTCTCCTTCGCTCGCTTTTGTTGCTTTGGTTGTTGTTGTTGGGGCCTCGTCTTAGCTTTTAACGTGTTTTACCGTTCGTTTCTTTTTGCGCATAAAATGAGCAGGTAACAGGTCTGTGCGTGCACGAATGTGTGTGTGCACGGTTCGACTCCCTTGGGTAAATTTTCGTATTTAAAATATATGACCAAGAAATTTTCAAACATTATTTTTTAATTTTATTTTTTCTCTCTCCCCACAGCCTGGTTTTTCAGTTTTTTTTTGCGTACTTTCCTTGCCGCAAATCAATTTGCCAGGACGAGGAGTAAGTGGAGCAAAGTGGGCCAGCGGAAAAAAGGACAAGGAAAGGAGCGGAAAGGATTGCGAGGCTGCTCGAGTGGAGTAGACTTTGTCAGGGGTGTTCGCCTGAATTTATGTTGCATCCACAACCCGAAGACGAACGCTTTTTTCGGGGGCTCTGAGTCTGCAGTGGAGCGTATGGAAATGCATTAAGTCCCGAGATGACTGCACGTTTGGGATCTGCGGAAAGGATTATCTTTGCCCGAAGAATATATATACATATATGTATACGAATAAAAATATACATATACAACAAAAAAACACTGAGGAGAAACACAAGAAGTGCAAAAAAAACCCGATAATGCTCGAAGTGGGGCAATGATGTCGACTTAAAGCCCAGTCAAGTGCCGGCTGAGAACTTTATGGGGCAGATTGCGCCCTGAATTAGCCGGTTGATGGATCCGTCCGGGGTCTGCCACTTATTTCCTCGGCTGACGGATAACTTTGGATAGCACTCAGTGAAAAGAATACACAAATGTAAAGATAAAGTAAGCAAAGTTTGGTGAACTATACGGGGGAGAATGGATGTGATTTGCTAGATAGTTTGGATTTTTTCGATACTGAGTGCAATTTATAATAACAATCTGTATAGGATATCTTGGATATGGATTGTTATAGAATAAGATTAAGATATTTATTTAATTTATTATGTCCTTTAGCACACAAATAAAATATAGATAAATGTATAAGGCATATTAATAAAAATTTATAATAATATTCTGTATAGGATATCATGGATATGGATTGTTATAGAATAAGATTAAGATATTTATTTAAATTATAATGTCCTTTAGCACTCAAATAAAATATAAATAAGTGTTTAAGGCCCATAAATAAAATTGTATAATAATAATCTGTATCGTATATCTTGAATATGGATTGTTATAGAATAAGATTAAGATATTTATTTAAATTATAATGTCCTTTAACACACTAATAAAATATAAATAAGTGTCTAAGGCATGCATATAAATAAAAATCCAAATCATTAAGCAAAGCATTCGTTATCTTGTCGACCAGTGTTATTGGACAAAAAAGCTACAGGTATTTGAAGATAGCATCGAGAGGTATAGATAACATGTTAGATAGTTTTGTAATAGTTCTAATGTCTCGAGATAAAGTCAAAAATGTAAATGGAAATGTACATTATATCATCGATAAAAGTGGATATATAGAAATAGTTTCGGATATAATCAAAGTACTTTCAAAATTAGAGCTTTCGATTTGTGACTACCGAAGTAAAGAGCTCCCAATCAGGGCATTTCATCAAAACATTTATGACCAACACGTTTGAATAATAAATATCATAATACCACCCTGATACAGGAAACCTGCCCATGCAATAAAGATAAAAGAAAATCAAGGAAATCAAAGAAAAGCCTAGATATACTAATTACGAACACTGGCTGCCGAGCTCTGATTTATTTCACCAATTGTGGTAATGGATGGTAAACATTTAATAAGCGCAAATAAAAATCAATGTTGTGGTAAGAATCGAGAGAAATCAATCGATTTATTTGCAGGGCAGTGATAAAGAAGTATACTATATGGTAAGGTACAGTCGAAGAGGGACCATCGGAACATCCGACCTGGATAGTCTGGGGTGCGGCGATAAGGCTGGCGAAGAAATAGTTGGCCCAAGCGCAGCCAGTCCAATGTACAACGCAGCGAACCCACTAATCATGCTCACGGTTCGCGGACATGACTCCCAGAATAGCGCTGAAACCAGAATAACACACAGAGACCACAAGAAATCAGCGATTTAGCCAATCTAGTGATGGCAAAATAGACTTTTCTGACCATTTATTTGATAAAAATTGCTTTAAATCTCCAGAATTATCAGTATATTTTTTGTTTTACTATAAAAATTGCGATTTTGCCACCCGTTTTTCTTATCAAATGTTATTATTTTAACAAATAAAAAGGTTTAACAAATTGATAAACAGTCATTATTAATTTTTTTGGTTAAACAACAAGTCTTCTCTTAATTTTGGTTATTTTGTTGTGTTGTATTTATTAAACAACCACCTCTGATTATAATTCTTTATTTGATTTCCGTAATGGAAACGAAAGCATTGATTTTGATATTTTTAAAGGAAACTAAAGCAGATCTACCTATGAAGTTGGTAATTTAGATATATACTTTTTTGAAAATGAAAGCCAAATTTGTACCATTTAAACATTATACTTACTTGTTAAGATAGTATTTAAAAAATTGGCAACACTGGAAAGAGCGAACCATTTAGTGTTCGCAGACCAGACCCACAGATAAGATTAAGTAGTTCTCGGTACATGATTGCCACTCCTATGGGCCCCTATAAAAGCCTCAATGCCTGAAGCTGTGCCAGTCATTAGCAATTCTCAGACTCTCTTGGCAATGGCGAAGAATTGGTGGCAGCTTACCTTGGTGTTCCTAATCCTAGGGCTAATGCCTGGCATGAGTCACCAGGTGGGGCTTCTAATCGGCAATTAGTTGATTAGATTTGATGGTATTCTTCTAAAATTTCAGGCAGCCCTGGCCGATTTGGATTACTATACGGCCGGAGTGGTGGAGTTCCGCCAATCGATCCTCAGCTTATCGGCCTGGTCAGATGCCCTCGAGAGCTATGTGGAGATAATACACTCTGAGAATGCCAGTGCCACGGATATTATTGTGTTCCCCGAGAGCACTCTGAACTCCGCGGGCTCTACGACCTTTGTGCCCAATCCCGAGGATCAGATAAATCCCTGCCTGAGTGATGCCAATTTCACCGTGTACGAGGAATTCCTGGTGACCCTATCATGTGCGGCCCGCAATGCCAGCAAATACATCGTGATCAATCTCACCGAAAAGCAAAAGTGCGAGGATGTTCCGGAGGATACCAGACCTTGTGCGTCCAACGGATTGAATGTCTTTAATACCAACGTGGTCTTCGATCGTGAGGGAGTGGTGGTGTCCAGATACCGGAAGGTTCACCTCTACGGTGAGGCCAAAAACAACACCTATCTGCCGGAGCTAAGCACCTTCGAGACGGACTTCGGGGTCACCTTCGGTCACTTCATCTGCTTCGATATCCTGTTCTACACCCCAGCCCATCAGCTCATCGAGGAGCAGGGTATCACGGACTTTGTCTACCCGGCCATGTGGTTCTCCCAACTGCCCTTCCTTACAGGTAAGTCATTTGTACACAGACATGGACGATAAGAAAAGCGGGGGCTAGTTCATTGACATGTGTCTCTTATCGGGGATCCAGTCGATTGCTAATTGATGGTTCTCGCAACCTCTCGAGATGAAGTGCCTCTAACCGATTATGCACAGGCAGAAAATAATCAGTCACTCCACGTGAAGCAAAGGTTGTAATAACTACAAAGTCGTTAATGGTTGGCAATTAGGCAGCAAAGCTACGACTTGTAATTATAAAATGGGGCTTATCTCCGGTATGACATCGTAAAGACCTGCATGAGTAAGTGATAAAGTAAATACTACTATTGGGGATAATCCAGCAGTCAGTCGGAGAATTTAGGAAGTTTATTTTCAGAACAATTCAATTAACAGTATAAGAACGCGAATTCTTCAGGATAGTATTTTATTTTGCCACGATAGTGTTCTTTAGCTTTGAAAACTATTGACTCATACTATTTGTTCTACCTTTTCTTTAATAGCTGTTCAGACCCAACAAGGTTGGGCCTATTCCAACGATGTGAACCTTTTGGCCTCTGGTGCCAGTCGTCCCTCGATTGGAAATAGTGGTTCGGGTATTTATCATGGACGTTCTGGAACTTTGACCAGTGTTATGAGGCAGGATTCCGGTGAGAGGGCCATCTATGTGGCACAGGTACCCAAGTATACTCGCAGTAGATCTGTTCAGAAACGCGTGAGGAGGAGTACGCCGGAGATCAATTCCCGCCAGGTGGCCTCGACCACGAGTTTCTACATGAAACGAGACTATGTGCAGAACTATGAATCTGAGCTGATTCAGTTCGGCGAGGGAACTAGTGGTGCTATCAATCGAACTATCTGCCATGGCAGCTTTTGCTGTAATTTCGATATAGCATGGAGATCCTTGGGAACTGCTGTGGAGAATGGTAGCTACTATAGCTATCGGTTGGGAACCTACGATGGCTGGCGTAACGAACAACAAGTGGATGCCAATTACATTCGTAATTGTGCACTGTTCACCTGCTCTGGGGACTCCATCGATGATTGTGGCAAGCTACTGCCCATTGAGGGAGAGCTTCAGCAGTCACGTGTGAACTTCACCCGTCTGGAGATCGGGGTCACCTATCCAGAGTCCCGAGAGTTCCTTCTGTTCCCCGACACCCTGCAAGATAATCTGCTGCCTTTGGAACCAAATCAGTTTGAATGGTCGCAGCAGAAGCCCACTGAAGATAGGTGAGATACCATAAAAATACGCTCTATAACCAGGATTTTTTATATATGTTTATGTTTCTATGATCCTTAGCTATGTGCACGAAGTTCGCTTTGCCCTCAAGGATACCCAGGAGCTGAGCAACCTGTTGACCTTTGCCATCTATGGCAATTACTACGACAATGTGTGCACTTTTGGAGTTGGCACTGAGGAGGAGCAACTGGCCTGTGGATACAAGAGTGGATCCACTAGGCTAACAACCCTTGGGGGATGGCTGATAATGCCGTTGGTTATCCTGGTTACTGCCTGGACTAGGGCCTAATAAGATCAAAGTGTATATCCAAACGACAAGAGTTATGATGGATAATATACAACTATCTTAAGACCCACATATTGGGTTCCTTTTTTTTAATACACCTATTGCTCGATACTACCAGTATTTATATAAATAAAATACAAGATAATATACTTTTGACTTGTAAATTATTTAACATTAATCGGAAGATTTTCAGGAAGATTATTATAAATAGTGCCTTTTGGTATTAACTGTTTTGGGATGCAATATATTTTGCAAAATACCAGCAAAGACACGCGCCGCTATAAAAAATAATTATATAGATAACAATTAAGAGAAAGTAAAGTTAATTAAATAAATTCTGTATAGCACTTAAATGAATAGCTTTATCATAAAGATTTAGAGAATTTCACTAGTAAGTCTTATCTTAATTAAGACATACCAAGTTGGTATTAGCTGCCTTTATATAAAAAGCCATTGCAACTGGCCTAGAATCGTCAGTTATCTTTTTTCAAGACCTTGCAACTCTTCAAACTGAACAAAAATGTCTTGGATATGGAGCTTCTTTGTGTTGGGCTTTTTAATCGCTCAAGGAACTTCGGAAAGTACCATTTTATTTGAATTTTAAAAACCAGAAAAATTGTAATATATTCATCAGGATTCGTTGGACGATATTAACGAAGAAGTAACGAAAGTTCTAAAGAGTTATCTGGAGAATTTTAATGGTTCCTGGAAGGATAACACTGAGTTTCTCAACTGGATCTCAAAAATTCGAGCGGTGGTGAAAAATAATAATACCGATCTAACGGAGAAGTTCCAAATACGATTTAACTTTGAATCTTACAATATTGAACGTTTGATTTTGGAGCAACAAATCTCAGATCGTATCGAGGAGCTGGATAGCATTATTCCCCATCAGAAACTCCAAAAATGCTTAGAATTTTATTTAAACCAAAGATCTCATCTTAAAACAGCACTGAAGCAAACAAATAAGAAAAAAATTGAAAAGTTTGCCGAAAATTCGACTTATTGTCCGTACTACAATTTTGATATTAACGAACATATAAAAAGCCTGCTGGACCCTTCAAAAAGGCAGAATGTCCTTTAATCGTCCTCATGGGTCCAAAGGACGTTTGAGTTCCTGGAGGTACCATCCTATGTTTGGTCCTTATAAATATCACATATTAGTGATTAAATAAATTTTGAGCATATACAATTTGTGTTAATATTTTTACTAGACTGCCTAAAAGTTTGCTTTACTGAAAACCTCTATATTTTTTCCATAGAAACGACTAACAAGTTTTCTATTTATAACTATTTGTAGTTTTGTCTATCAGCCATCGAAATGTCACGTGTGATCGGTGATAAGCGGGGTCACCTAGTTGATAGAAACAGTCCATTTAAATGATATATCGATCATTTATTAAAAGAGTGGCGTATATCAAACATCACTATTGTTGGCTTAATGATGCAGAAATGTTTTTTGTGTAATAATTTATCATTCTTTCTTTAATATAGAGGGTTTGAGAAGTGTACAAGTTGGATCGTTGTAAGAAATCGAATTGGTTTGCAGTTTGAACCCTTTAGGCATGTTATTGACAAACTAGTTTTTTTTTTGCTTACCGATTTATGGACTTTAGCCAAATCATAAATAAGAACATGGCATTTATTTTTGTCTCCTTAGCTAGTGGAACTGTTTAAGAATGAGACCACTGAATCGAAACAGTCCAGACAGAAATTATTTTTGTCATCAGCAGATAAGATTAACCCATCTCCTTCTAGGAATGCTATAAAATCTGCAAAGTTTGGTCTTGGCAAGTCACTTGCCAATATCTAACTTGGCAAAGAACATGGCAAAGAATTATTGGGCGTTCTGCCTACATTGCTTAACCCTAGGGTTAATGTTGGGTTGGAGTCAGCAGGTGGGTGTTTTATATTTGAATCTATCCAAATAGATTAACTCAATTTTTTGTGGAATTTCAGGCTTCACTTTCGAGGAGAGAATACTATACGGCTGGTGTGGTGGAGTTTAAACCGTCGAACTTATTATCCGATAATCTAAAGGCCTATGTGGAGATCATTCACTCGAAGAATGCCAGCTCGACGGACATTATTGTGTTTCCGGAGAGCACCCTCAACGATATGGGTCCAACGACCTTTGTGCCCAATCCCGAGGATCGGATAAATCCCTGTTTGAGAAATCTTAACGAAAGCCACTTCGAGGATTATCTGGTGACCCTATCCTGTGCGGCCCGCAATGCCAGCAAATATATTGTGATCAATCTTACCGAAAAGCAAAAGTGCCAGGATGTTCCCGAGGATACGAGACCCTGTGCCGCGGATGGCTTGAATGTGTTCAATACCAACGTGGTCTTCGATCGTCAGGGAGTGGTGGTCTCCAGATACCGAAAGGTTCACCTCTATGGTGAACCCAAGAACAGCACTTACCTTCCAGAACTGAGCACCTTTGAGACGGACTTCGGGGTCACCTTCGGTCACTTCATCTGCTTCGATATCCTGTTCTATACCCCAGCCCATCAGCTGGTGGATCAGGGAGTCACGGACTTTGTCTACCCGGCCATGTGGTTCTCCCAACTGCCCTTCCTTACAGGTAAGTCTGAGTGAGATGAGCACAGGGGTGAAAAGTGGGTCAGTCCATTGACATAGGTCCATTAACTGGGTCGAGTGATTGCTAATTGATGGCTCTCACACGTCCTTGAGATTAAGGACCCTCCATGCGGAATGTTCGGCGTACGATGGTCAAGTGGTAAATGCTTATTATCTGCTCTTTGAATATTTAAACCGCAATCTCTGGGAAATTTAATAATGACAATTAATAGTCACTTGTATGCTAGAGATGATTTAAGTTTTATTGATGCTTTTAATATATAACGGAATATATCTAATCGAACTTTGGTCAGACAAAAATAGTTATAATTCTTGTAATCAAATGTTAATTATAGGATTTGTTCTATAATCTGATGAATAGTTCTTATTATTTCATAATTAATGTGTTTTTTCTTATTAGCTGTTCAGATCCAATTGGGCTGGTCCTATGCCAACGATGTGAATCTGCTGGCTGCTGGAGCAAGTGATCCCACCGTGGGAAATAGTGGTTCGGGGATTTACCAAGGACGTAGTGGCACTTTGAGGAGTGTGATGCGTCAGGGCTCCGGAGAAAGAGCTATATATGTGTCGCGGGTGCCCAAGTACAAAGGAAAAAGACGTATAAAGAGGGATCTCAACCGACAGGTGGCCACCAATTCAAGTTTCAACATAAAGCGTGACTATCTGGAGAACTTTACCAGTGAGGAGCTGCAAATTGAGGCTGGAAGGAGCGGTCATCTCAGCAAGATTCTTTGTCATGGTGGTTTCTGTTGTCATTTCGATGTGGCCTGGAGATCCTTGAAAAAGGCTCAGAGGAACTCCAGTTACTATAGCTATCGTGTGGGCATTTTCGATGGTTGGCGTAATCAGAAGCGCCTAGATGTCAACTATATTCGAAATTGCGGTTTGTTCACCTGTTCCGGGGATTCAATAGATGATTGTGGTCAGCTGCTGCCTGACCTTCAGAAGCCTGCGGTGACCTTCACCCAACTGGAGATTCGGGTCACCTTTCCGCACTCAAGGGAGTTTCTATTCTTTCCCGACACCCTGCTCGACAATCTTTTGCCCCTGGAACCCAAACAATTTGAATGGGCCCAACAACAGCCCTCTGAAGAGAGGTGAGTCTAAAGATATGCGCCATATATTATTTAACTAATGGTTTGCTCTCTACTTTCTATAGCCATCAGGTGCGATTTGCTTTAAGGGAATCCCAGGAGGTCAGTCACCTTTTGACCTTTGCCATTTATGGCAACTACTATTATAATGATTGCACTTTTGGTGTTGGAACTGCCGAGGAGCAACTGGCCTGTGGTTATAAGAATCCAAAAATATAAAAAGAGCTTAAGAAATTTGAGTAATTTTATAAAACATTTATGATATTCCTAGCTAGATCTATTGTTAGTTATTACAATGTTGGCAGTATCTTCAGAAATTTTAGTTTTTTTAGCGAATGCCCAAAATTCGACTTTACTCAACTCATAAAAAACTAGGGCACGCACAAATCAGCTGATTACCGATTAAACCGATTAGATAGACCATCTTTACAGACAGTAAACAACAAAAAATTCAGACGACGGCGAAGCCAGATATAGAGTGGAAAATATTTTTGTATATGTATGTCCACGTTTATAGCTTCAACGAAAGGTGGAAAACCGGTTGGGATTAGTCGGCTGGCGATCGTTGAAATATAAACACCATGGCTGGATTCCAGCTTCGATTCTTGGGGATCCTAAGTGTTTTTTTCTTGATATCTCTGGTTGTGGCTAATGATGGATCAGATGGATTTTATACAGCTGGTGTGGCGGAATTTCGACCAGAGATAATGGGTGGTTCTTCACAACAACTGTTGGAAAGGAATCTGGCTGGTTATCTGGAGCTCATAGCCTCGGCCAATGGCACTACGGATATTATCGTCTTCCCGGAGGCCGCCTTAAATAGTGTGGTCACCTTGACGGCGGTGCCGGAATCTACAAAACTGAGTTTATGTGAAGAACAGCCTGATGATGATCCGGAAATAGCTCCTTTTCTACGACAACTAGCCTGTGCCGCCAGAGAACATAACACCTATCTGGTGGTCAATGTCAAGGAACGGGCTCCAGAGAATTGTCCTTCGGATGTTAGCTGTACCAATCTTGGCTATGTGGTCCATAACACCAACGTAGTCTTCGATCGACAAGGAGCGGTAATCTCGCGCTATAGAAAGTGGAATCTTTACCTGGAACCGTCGACTGACCGAACTGAAGAACCGGAACTGGCCACCTTTCAAACCGATTTTAATGCCACCTTTGGTCATTTCATCTGCTTCGATATGCTCTTCTATACCCCGGCTCAGGATTTGGTGGAGGGATTGGGCATTCGGAATGTGATTGTTACCAAAATGTTCAACTCGGAGCTGCCCTTTCTCACAGGTGATTAGTGTTTGCAATGGAATTTTAAAGGTAGAATATGGAAAGTGAATTAATTAATAATAATTTTTTGAGTACAAAAAGGATTAGTCGAGACATTATCCTTATACTTTAAAACCCACTTTCTGGAAGAACCAAAACTCGAAACTTTTCTTTATAAATACGATTTTTTGTTTATATAACTTCCTTGTTTAAGTATAGTATTTTTTAGACTGTAATAACTTATTTATGAACTCTTTCTGCAGCCTCCCAGTTCCAGCAGGGTTGGGCCTGGTCCAACCGGGTGAATCTCCTGGCTTCCGGAGGATCCTTTCCGCAGGGTGGAATAAGTGGCAGTGGCATTTATGCGGGTCAACACGGCGCCTTGGCTCGACTTATGATGACGGAGGAGACGGTGGGTCAGAGGAGGTTGCTCCTGGCTAAGGTCCCCCTAAATCCCGAGCAGGACATGGATGCTTCGGATGAGATTTTGGAAACGGAAGACCCTACTCCTATCAAACTAAAATTACTGCAGCAACCAGAACTAAAGAAGTTTACCACCTGGGAGCTGCCCATGATTAAGGGAAGTTCCGTGGAGAAGAGGATCTGCCAGGAGGATTTGTGCTGTGAGTTCCGGATCAGTTGGTCGCCAGTGGGAACAAAACCCGGATATAGCTACCGTTTGGGGGTTTGGGTGGGTGAAAGGCGGTACGAGGAGGAGCAGTACAGTGCCATCCGGCTATGTGGTCTGTTTACCTGTAGCAGTTCCGATGTGGAAAGTTGCGGTCTAATCAGCGAGGAGCAGCGGGAACTGGGACTTCTGGCGGAGAATCAAGTGGTCTTTACCGAATTGCAGATCCTGGGGGAGTTTGTCCGCAGACCTCGACGTCTCATTACGCCCAGCACACTCAGTTCCTCACATCTGTATGCCCTGCAACCCTCTCAATTAGCCTGGTCCATGGAGGAATTGGATAATCTCACCCAGATTAAGATGGAACTGCGACAACCTCATAGCCAGCTAATGACCTTCGCCATATACGGCAACTATTTCGATGAATATGCGAATGATGGAGCCACCACAATGGAGGGCAGTAGAATGGGAACCCTGCTGTTTCTGCTAATCACGCTCCTAATGATGATGCATCTCATCTGGGAGTAGGTCAATCCATATTGCTCACTTATCCAGGTATAGAACATATCCACGTGGGAAATATTCAGGATGCTTCTAACTCATGTTAAATGTTGTACCAACTTGTTCATTTTTAGGGATAAACCATGTTATAACTCGATCAAAAATAGCTTTAATAATTCAAAAATGTAAACTGTTTTTTTTCAATATAAAACTTTGTGTGATAGATAATATTCCAAAATAATATTGAGAACTTGCGAATTATATTCACATTTATTACCCAAAAGCAATTAAAATGAAAATAATGAGTCAAGCACCACGTAATTAATAGTAAGTGCTTGCAAAACTATTTAGTTTGAACAAGTCTATTAAGTGCCAGTCATTTTTCACAAATTCTCCTTAATGTGCGGTCATAAATCAGAAAAAAGGTGCATCAAAATGTTGATTTATTCGCGGGGCTGTCAAAACGATTTGGTTCTTTTTGTCGGCTGGCAACTCATTAAAATCAATGCGTGCATGCATTAGTATGTGTGCGCATTTGGATGGGTGTGTGTGTTTTTGGTGTGTGTGCGTGTGTGTGTGTGTGCATTTGCTGTGGGCTGCACTTTATATTTGCCGTTGTTTGTGTAGTTGCCCTTAAGCTGGCACATTGTAATTAAGTGTCGCTCAAACAGACACACACTGAAAAAAATATATCTTAATTCAAAATGGTTAAGAATTTTGAAAAGCTAAGACTAGGATTTTCTATATAAAAAGGTTTTTTATTAAGGCATTGACTTGCTTTTGAGATGCAATATCAATGGTATAAAAAATATTAGTTTTAATATTCGTATTATAATATCACATAAAAAGTAATCATATACCCATATTTAATATCATTGAAAATGTTATTGCTTCTCATAAAATCACTGTCTAAATATTTTCATTGGAATATTATAAGTCCTAATACTAAATATTTTTGTTGGCCATGTAAAATCTTAAATATTTTATTTTCTGTGTAAGAATATAATATTAAACCGTTACTTACCATATTTGATACCAACTGTAAAGTAGTTGATTTGTTTACTGTGCATTAAACCGCATCACGTTGTCTATTTGGTTGCCTAATTTATGGAAATCGAGGCATCGGCAATGGAATGGTGTCAAGTTCATGTCATTAAGGTGTGATTAACAAAAATTAGTTGCTGCTTAACGGGACCAAGAGCAATCCACCCCAAAAACCCCCCGAAAAACCCCCCTCCCCACCACAAAACAAAAAAGAAACAGACGTCTAAGCGAGAGCAACAGTGTGCTGGAAAAGCAACAGCTAACGGAAAAGCGACCTCCACCCACTGACGCCCACCACCCACCCCCACCCACTGGGCGGCCAAGCAGGTGAAGCAGGAGAAGCAACACATGAAGCTGGCGTCGCAGCAGGCGCCTCTGCCCGCGGCGACTGCGAGAAACGAACAGCTTCGAAAGTTTTCATTCATTTCAACTGTTGCTTTCCACTTGTTAGCACGAGGCAGGCTGGAAAACGAAGGGAAATCCGACTGGAAGGGCAGCAACCCAGCAGAGGCAGCCCTCTCCGTGGAAAGTCTCCATTGAGAACACCTGCGAACAGTGGGCGATTTGACCACATCAGCTATAAAAATATGTTCATGTTCAAGAAGAAAATAATTTTACACAACAAATGTATGCAGCAAAAAGTGTATCATGCATGCATAGGTTTTCGAAAAAATTTCTTTGTTTCATTGCATATAATATAATATTACTTGATTTAAAATTTTAAATATTGATATTTTAAAATATATTGAATTTCATATTAAGAACTCAATATATTTATTATCACTAATACTATTATTACTAAGTTATGTTATATTCAAAGTCTGTATGTATTTTATTTTTATCATATTTTTTAACTTATTTATTTAACATTGTCTTAAGTTATTTGGTTTTTAAAACATAAAATATATTCAGAAAATGCTCAATCAGACAGTTATATTTTTAACTTATTTATTTAACTTTGTCTTAAATTATTTGGTTTTTAAAAAACATAAAATATATTCAGAAAATGCTGAAACAGACAGTTATATGTATTATTATTATTTTTATTATTTAATATTAAGGTTTTGGTACATTCTGCGCCCACTGTGCGAAGTGCGTGAGCGAGGACGTGTAGAGTTTTCACATGGCGGCGTGTAGACTGCGTTATATTTGCCTTGAATTATTCAGGCAGATATGTTTTATGGATCAGGGCGGAAGGCGCTGCGCTTTTGGACGTCCGCGCCAGAGAAAATGCAATTAGCGAAAATGGCCAGTCAGCTGGCGGGATCCAAAGACCCGAAAAGATCCAATGCGTGTTTATTCAAGGTACACTTTGTATTTATAAACATTAAAGATCTAATTAGTTGAATCAATGTTTAATTTTGTTTTTCAATTAATATATTTTTTGTTTTTTTTTACGTTTTTAGACAAATTGTATGGTATTTCACGGCGCGCAATGCATATTTTTGCCTTCCCTCTTTTAGTTGCTTCTAAACCTCCGGCGCGTGCGCATTGAAAACCCAATTTAATATGTAAGTCCTATTGAAAAATATTTATTTCTTTTTAGTTGATTGCTTTTACAAACATACAAATAACCCCTTCGAATACTGGTCACCATGTGGAAACTCCAATTTTAAAATTGTATACATAAGTATAGAAATTCGATTTGATGTGCCAATTTTAACTCTCCTTATATTCAGCAGCTAGCTTTGTGGTCTAATGCGTTGCACAGTTTTAATTTTTGTTAATTTTAATATTTTTTGAAGTTTTAAATTGTGTTTTTGAACAGCCACATAGATTTATGAAATCTCCCCTGAGTTTCCGAGTCCAGTCCGGTGTTTCGCGGTCGTGTCCGTTCGTGTTCGGTCGTGTTCGTGCACGTCGCTGCCAGCGACGCCGTTGCTGCTCTGCCGACTGCGCCGCCGACGCGTTGCGTGCTTTGGCAAACGTAACGGCACATTCTGCGGAAGCTTTCGGCGCGTGCAACATCCAAACATCCAGTAGGCGTTCAGCCTCCGAGCGGATAACACTGCGTTGTTGTAGTTCTTGGAGTCCCAGCGATACGATATACACACCACCCACTAAAACACATACCCACTAAATAAAATACCAGAGGAGCAGCCATACCAAAATCAACACTAAATACCGTTGGCATTCAAGTTTTAAATAATTCATCCAAATTAGTGCGTGACAATGAAAGCAAATAGAGAAATTGTTCATATTTTTTGAAACTTTTTTTTGAATTGTTTAACGATTAAAGTTCTGAACGTTCTGAAAAAGAAATCCATAAAAGTGCCTGACAATAAAACAAACGAGAGATCTTTGAAAAATGTTCTAGAAAATCGTATGCCTGTTGGAAAGATCCGGCGTTGTTTCTTGTTCTTTTTTGAGTTCTTATTTAAACATTTCCGTGTCGAATACAGTTTTGGTATATTTATTTTAAAGCCATAAAACTTTATTTTATTGTGTGAAAATACAAACATTTTTATATCACAACGAAAAGTTGGTTATCTTTTAAAACTTTTTTGTGTGCAATGCAATTATACATTTATGCCACAAACTTTTTTCTTTAAAGATTTATCATAACCTTCAATTTGAAAATAATTGTTTAAATAAATAATACAGTCTTTGTGGTTTTTTTCAAATTCACATTCAATATTTGATTGATTGCTATGCAATACATAAATAATAAAAGAGAGTGAAATTTTGCTTCTAGTTTTTTCTTGAATGTGATATTGTTCTCTTGTTTTTTGTTTTTTTTTTGAAGGGAGTTATTGTATTTGGAATGTGTTCTTTCGTTCAATACCCCGAGGTATTTTGGCACCGAACGCCGACGGGCGATTTACAGCAACAACAATCAACAATCGTGGACTTCCTGGGCGCGCAACTTTTGTTTTGAAATTCTATATAGTTCTATATATATATTTGCCGATCCTACACACATGCTCCCCAACACCCCATTAAAAATACCAATGTTTGTTGTTTTTTTTCGGTTATTGTTGTGACTTTGGCAGAGACACCAGATAAAAGACAACATCAAGCTGAAAGCGAATTGAAAATTCGGAAAAAAGAATCAAAACCAAATTTGAAATTAAAACAAAGCAAAAAGTTTTTGGAAAGCGGAAAAGGAGAAAATCCAGAGTAAACAACAACAGAAACCAAGTAAAAGGCCTTCGGAGCGATAAAAGGTGAGTGAAATTGGCAATGGAACTTGATTTCAAAGAAAATCGCGCATACGTAACGTTGCAGGTGGTGGTTTTTTAAGAGTAAAGTTGTGCAAAAGTATGTTTAAATTATATCAAAAAATGTGAAAGTGCTAAAAGAAAATTTTCTTTAAAGACTTGAATGCAAAGTCTGGAGTTTAAAGGGCTTTACAATTTTCTAAAAGAAAGGATTTTCTTAATATCAGGTCTCTTGGTATTACGTTTGATCCATTATATTAAAGAGAACCTGGTTAACAAATGATTATTAGGATTTTTTATTTAAAATATAAAGTATTTGCAATGTTTTCTGGTTTTGTTTTAAATACTTGAGCTTAAAAAGGTTACTAAACCATAATTAATTGACTGTACAATGAACATACCTAAATGTTAAAGGAAATCTGCCTGAATTCTCAAGGAGTGACCACATAAATTTATGTTAATAGAGCTTTAATGCTGGAGAACGGTTAAAAATAGAACAGGAAAAGAATAAATCCCTGCGAGACTGTGTGCTGAAACATTTTAAACCACAACCTTGGACTCCACATTTTTTATCGGCCCTTCAGTAATTTCCTTTGCCTTTTGTTTGTCCGATGCTTTCTTAATGGTTTTCCTTGGGCTTTGTGTGCCATCATCGAACACACTGTTTACAATTCGATTTTGCATTCTTTTGCCATTCCCATTTCTCACTCACTTCTGGCCCGATTTTTCCTCCTTTTTTTTCGGAACTTGTCTTCACATTAATTGTTCATTGATGTTTGTTCTCTCATTCCCCAACTGGTTTTCCCTTGGTCGCTTCCTGTGGTTCAGTGATTAAATGGAAATAGAGCTTTCTCTGGTGAACCGAACTGCCATGCTTCTTTTACTTTCTCAAACATCTTTTATTTTTCTGCGCGTTTTCATTGACTGCGAAAAATGATTGTGAATCAAAAGTTGCCAACTGTGCGTATGATTAATATCTCAAAATATGCGCCAGATTGTTGAGCGAATTATCAAAAGAAAACGTTTTACAGGGGGCAGGGGGGTGTATGGGGTTATTGGAAATGTTTTTTCCTTAATTATTGGCCAAACGGCATTAAATTTTCAAGTATTTACTAAAGCTTAACAAAACACAAACAAAAGGCGAACACATTTTCCTCGATTTTCCTCGATTTTTCACTAAATAAATGTGTATGTGTATCTTTGCTTGTACATAAGATTATCGAGTACTGGAGGCATTTGGCAATTGGCAGCTGTTCGATCCGCATTTGTATCAATAAAATGCCCTCCCTCTCTTTCTTTCGATTTATTCTCTCCGATTTTCTCATTATTTACTTGTCCGGATTTTGCTAAATGAACTGATTATAAAGCCCATTGGTGGTTGGCACATGTCTACACGCGTATTTTTTTATGCACATATCTAAACAATTAGTAAAATGTTGTGGATTTTTTTTTGGGAGTGGGGGTTTTCTTGGGTTTTTCCTTTTCTTTTAGTAAATTGAATTAACGCTAATTGTAATGTATGAATGTAAATGTAATGTGCGAATATCAAGCGAGATCTAAAAAGCAAAAACCCGGGCAGACACATATACATACATATATGTTGGGTATATAGAAAATCCGGACAGTCTGAAAATCCGGACGGATAGCCGGACAGACGGACGTGTAAACAGAGGCAAGCCAAAGGTAACAAATGGCTTTTCAAATAAATTAGCGGGCGGCAATTGTAAACAGAGACAGACAGAGAAAGAGCAGCACATATGCATATACATAGAAAGAGACAGAGACAGAGACAGAGAGAGAGGGGAAGAAAGAGAGAGCTAGACTCTGCTAGAAAGAGAGGCCAACACACTGGACACGGCCAAATGGAGATGGAATTTGTGACCAGCGGGTTGCCCAATTAATTACTGCATTTTGCACGGCCAGATGGATCGAAAATAGTTTTAATTGACATCAGGCAAATATTGAAAATCATTTTACACTCTTGTTCTTTCATTAGTGCTGCATTGTCATTCGAGTTAAGCAATTATCTGGCGATTCAATTAAACGAGATTCCGATGAAATAATCACACACGTCAGTTGTACGCAAGTTTTTAATCATTTTCCATTCAAATCCTTATCCTTTAACGTTGATATCGCTTAAAACCGAGAGTCAAAGAGAAATTGGCATGGAAATGCTGGCCGTAAATTTGTAATTAAATGAAGGCATTCAGAATATAATTATTCAAAGGCTTATATGGGCATAAAGTGTAAAAATAAGTGTAAGGGTTTATACATATAAGGAATACTTGGTTTAACAAAAAATTATAAGAATATTTTGCAAGAAAATATGTTTAATAATCTTCTTAGACGCATTTGTAAAAAAAGTTTCTTTGAAAAATGTTAACAAGGATGGTATAGTATGTGATGAAGGGATTTTTGTTTGCATCTCCTTACTTTGCATAGGAATTGGTATTAACAAACTTTTTGGAAACACTTGATAAGGAAATTTCCCAAACAAAATGTTAGAATCATAGGTTATTGGAAAAGGCCTTTGCACCAAAGGGTTATATTGGAACCAATACCTTTATGAGGTACTATTGCTTTGGCAACCCTCGTGAAAAGGGACTGGGTTTTGGGGATGCGGATGGGGATTGCCGATGGACGGCGGGATCGCAGCAGATTTAACCGGTTGTGAGCGGTTTTCGGAATTTTTTCTTTTTTGGATACTATCCGCACCGCACCCAAATGCACCCGAGTATTTGCACTAAGCGTCCATCGACGGCGGGCAGCGTTCATTAATTATACAATTACAGCTTGCAGTGCCCATTTGTGGGGGGTGGTGGGTGGTTGTGGGAGGGTGTAACTGGGGGGGTGCTTCAGTGGGTGGTGGATCGGTTGGGTGGTGCTGCTGCTGCTGCACAGACAGACCATTTCGCGTTGCACATGGCTTACGGGGGAGCACTCAGCTCATTCAACTGCAAAGCAATTCGTGGAAAACCCAACTGAGTGTATGTGTATTCTATATGCATTGGTCTACTACGGCTACTACTACTACTACTGCTAGTGTATTAGTGTGTATCTGTGTGTAGGAGGGCTCTTCTTCTTGCCACTCTTCTTTTGTGCTGTTTGCTTTTTTGCTCTGCCCCGCGTTTGATATGCAAAATTCAGAATGTTTACCTTGAAATATGCCATGTCACTTTGCAAGCGATGCGAGTTGAATACTCGATGGAGCAGCACAGCACGGTCAGAAAGAGAAAGAGCATCGGTCGGCCCTCCTCCATAGAAAGAGACGGGTAGAGGGGGTGGGAGAGAGAGAGAGAGAGAGAGACGGGGACATTGCGAAATACTCGTGTACATTGTGCACATTATGCTACCTGACAGGTGAACTGCACAGAGGAAGCCAAAAGAACCCAAGCATTGCAAAAAAAAAATAACAACTTTCAAGCTGACTAAATACTTTTGATCTTTGAATAAAATCTTGTTGAAGAAAATGCCAGTTCTATGGCAAAACATGCATAGGTCAACGAACTAGCACGAGGTATTTTCTATACATATATACTTTTTATTTTATATTCACCCAAAGAAAAGCAAGCATTTTGTTTATCATTTCATTTTCCATAGAATGATTTTGGAAATTTCTTTCTGTATTTTAAAATCTATGCATTTTTTCCTAAAATATTCTTGAAATGACTGAGTTCGGTTATCCATGCTTCATTTTTAAAACCCCTTTTTGCAGTTTTTTATTCCTGAGAATATTACCCAATTTTCTTTCTCTGCAAATTGAATGGAGCGGAGGAACTTTCATGGGCTTCAATGGAATGACCAGTGGTTAATGAGTAAGAGAAAGGGAATCGGGGTTTGTGACATGTTGGGGGGGGTCTGCCACATTGATGAGCTCCTCTGCCCGGAGTTCCGAGGTCGGAGTTGACCGGAGTTTCACAAGGGAGTTGCCCACTCATTACCAGATATGGCCAGAAGTTTGAAATGTTTGCCAACGTTTGCTACCTGTTACCAGTTTTCTGGACCACCTCTTATGTACCTGTCATTAACACAGCTTTTCCCCAGAGATCAGCTTTTGTGCTCTGCGGTTGCAGTCGGAATTTCCAAGACTCTTCCTGGAAAGTATTTGATTCACGATCTCTTTAAGCGAGTCCTTTAAAGTATAATCTTTCATGAAGGTATCGCCAACGTAAAATTCCAAATAAAAATGTATTAAAAAGTGGTTCAAAACACAATCCTTTTTAAAATAATTCTATTCCGAACTAACTATAAACTACAAATTTCAAACTCTGTAAATTTTAGGCTATATTAATCCAAGACATTATTTCAAAAATCAAAATTAAACTAAATTTCAAGTTTATTTTTGAAATAATGCCGCGAATCCGATTTATTCAATCGTAAGTAACACTTGGCCACTGAAGTTTTCCTTGTGAATTGTTATTAGATGAGCAACTCCTGGTTTAAAGTTGATTAAACCATTGTTTATTATTGTGCAGGATGATGATTAAAAGGATTAATAAAAGTGGGTAAATATCATGATTTTCTTTACTCTTTAAATTCTTAGTTAATTTTAAGCTGATGTAAGTTTTGTTAATTAGTTGAAACCCCAAATACATGGCTAAGTCATGTTTATTAACTGAATACTGATCGAGTTTACATCGATTCAAAATCAATTGCAAAAGCACCTGCAGCTGTTTGGTCTGGTAACTCTAGATATTTGCAGTTGCATCAGATATATTTCAGTTGGAATTCATCGTAGCCCCATTCCTAGCTACTTAACCTTCGACTTGCTTGCAATCGAAGTACCCCAGGCCAGACATTCATATGTACATACATACCTTCGTGATCCACCTGCCACTTCAACTCCATTTCCATTTCCGACCAACAGCAACTTGTCTGGGGCAAGTTCAATATGGCATAAGGCATATGGCATATGGCATCAGCATTTCCGGCTTCAACTGGCAACATGCAGCTGGACTTTTGTCATTGCATTTGGCGGCATGTGTTTTCCCTCGACTTTCCCCTTT